GCCACCGAAGAGACTGCCACCGAAGAGACTGCCACCGAAGAGACTGCCAACGAAGAGACCACCGAAGAGACCACCGAAGAGACCAACATTCAAAAAGTCCTCCAAGATCCAGATTCAAAATTGATTTATGAGTCCTTTCGTCATGATTTTGAAAGTAGTGCGACACAGTTCATAGCCACCTATAGCGCAAACCCAGAACACTTCTGGAATAAACTGCCCTTGCTCAGTGATGGACATATCGTCAGCCAGTTGTTGAAAGTGCTTGACCACCATTCGGAAATGAGTGACTTGGCCCAGAGGCTGCTTGAGATTAAATTACACGAACAAGTTCAATTGCTTGAGAATGCATTTGTAGAGTCAAATAGCACTCCGCGAAAGGGTGAGACAATCAGAAGTGTGGCTCTCCAACGTGTGCTAGGTCACAAAGCTTCTCGGGCAGAAGACTTCAAAGTTGATCGCGGGAAGAAGCTGTCACATTTTGAGCTCATCGATATATTCCGGATTTCAAAGCCTCATTGGACTAAGTGAGTTAAATTCTACTTACCTTCATACTGGTTCTCGTCATATTGATCATTTATAGATGGCGTAAGATCAAACTTTTTAAGGTCCATATGATATGTAAAGCTTTAAGGCCTGTTCAAGCAGAGTGGGCCAAAGACCTCGCTGATGTTCTGTCGAAAATCTACAAGCAAATACCTTCACAGACTCTGTTCACATCCAAAACGAGAGAGGAAGAAGCACAAACTCCAGATTCTGAAGTGGAGAATTCCAATCTGCCCATGTCGAGTTTCTCAACATCAGCCGACCAAGTTGACAGCCAGGCAGATGGTCTCGAGAAGAGGAACAATGGAACAATACATAAGGAACAAAATATGAGTTCCGCAGAAGCGATTATTTCCAATAAGCGATCAGCGTGTGACCTCTATCCGCTAGCTGCGAAAAGACAATGTCTCACCCAGGTAGCGCTCCCTTCACAAGGCCACGTATCGGAATCAGGCCCTCGGAAAAATCGGACAGTGCAACCTAGCAACGACAATTCCGCGCGCCCTGGTATGCTAGATGTTAGCCCTTTACGTGACTTTGGCTCTCAATCGAACCCAGCAATAGAATACCAGACTTTTGGATGTCCACGGTCCGATAATTCTGCAGCTATCAATATTAGTTCAAGAAATCAATTGCGGAACTCGATTAGCCGAGCATTAACTGGAACTCCGCTACTGCATGGAACAACTATGTCTCAAAAACAGATTCAATTCTTCGAAGCCCAAACCAGGTCCCGTCAATCCAGTCTTGCACCAGTAGTCGGCAATTCCATCTATACTGATGGTTACAACACTGGTCCCGACTCAATAGACGCAATAATTGCTTCTGCCGAACCTCGAATTTCCTGGCCTACGGGCATGGACAGTTACGATACTGATACCGACCCAATAGACGCGATAATTGCTTCTGCCGAACCTCGAGTTTCCTGGCCTACGGGCATGGACAGTTACAACACTGATACCGGCCCAATAGACGCGATAATTGCTTCTGCCGAACCTCGAGTTTCCTGGCCTACAATAGACAATATAGCCTCAATCGAACATGGAGCATACCAATGGTCTCCGCCAAATATCTCAAACAATGTCTTAGATCAACATCCTGTCGCAGCGACATAGGTATGGAAACCAGATATCCATATTAGGTTGTCCGTACCGAGGAGTAATATGGGCATCATGGATGTATATCAATTTGGGTACTATTGGAAATATTTGTGCATTGTTCCATAACCCTGACAATAGTTGATCTTAATCCGATTTCGGTCTTGGGGGTAAGGCGAGGACGTAGTAGAGCGAGCCAGATATAACAATCTCGTCTTCAAAGTAGAACGGCCGCGAACCTGGGATGAGTTCGGGACCGTTTTCGACTCGAGGCGTTCCCTCGATTGTGCAAATGGGGATAAGATAGGCTGCCGTCTTCAGTATCCTCGTGGATCCCGTGGTTTTCCATGCCTGTAGGTCATGACCCTTCAAATCTGGTAGTCCCGACGCAAATTTTACCAATACAGATTCGAGATTTTCGTCGACACAGATTGAGGTATCCTTGCCCCGTTTCTCCCAGTGCGCCTTCTCGAGGAAAGCCACAAGCTCAGCCATTGTATCCATCTGCATTTTCAAGACAGGCCTCGAAAACCGTAATACTCTGGACGTTGATAATCGCTGTAAGTGCAAGTGCTTAGCACTGAGCTAAATTTGCAGAGTGATATAACCTACATTCACTTTTATAGAACAGAAATTAGTGGGCGACTTGTAGCCTACTCTGCAATTATTTTTTTGAAAGTATTATATTTCAATACTTTTAAACAAAAGCAAAGCGCAGGATAGTGTCTGCGCGAAAGCAGATTATCTGGTGGAGGGGTTTTCGGGAAATTGTCTTGATGCCCGAAATAAATACGTTCTCCCTGTTAACCTATTAGCGCAGTTTTCGCCCATCTGATTACCGCAGCGGGTGGGGTGGCCATCCTAATGGGAATCAATCAGGTGATCAAGGGGTTGCGGGATCAAATCGAGTGACAAGTCAGGGAATTTGTTGACCACCGTGGACTCAAAAATCGCAAGAAAGCTCGGATGTATGTACGATATGGCATTCGGCTTTGCATTTCTATGAGGATATATTTCCCAAAGTGTCCAGCCATTCATCGACCCCTACAATTCGGCCTATCAAACCAGCTTCGCCCGTGGATTCAGCAGAAAGGGCCTACGTTGCAATGGCACCAACTTTGGGAAATGATCAGCCATCACCGACCCAATCCATCAGCACATCGACCTCCAGGGATCTTGGAGAAATCATCGTACTCCCTAGCCCAACTCTGCCGCTGACAGTAAGTGGCTCTTGCCCTGGCGTTGCGATTTGTGCTAATTAAAAGAAAAGTTGAAGGAGCAGCCGTGCTTTGTACTGGCTAACCTAGAGGTCTATAGCGTAAAGGTTCGGTTATGCAAAACACTCTGTTCGACTTTCGTGGCCGCATGCACAACAGTGATAAAGTTATTATAGAAATTCCATCCTCACTCCAGGTCTTAGTCATGTTAAATCCCAGGGGTCGAACCTAGGCAACTAACAAGGGGCAACTGCATCATCATCATCATCATCATCATCATCATAATCATGGGATCCATCGTCTACAGGGACCATAAAAAGCGTCGGCGGCAAGATCAGCGGTACTGGACATGGCAATGGTATGATTGGAATGACTGCCTCAGCAATCTGCTAAGTTACCTATCTTCGTGTTAGTTCAAGATGCTGGGGATTTACCCATTATACAATTCTACCGTAACTTAAATATCCAAGAAGAAGACAGGAATAGAGGCAATATTATAATAACAATATTTCCTAGTGATGAAAGAGTTCGACCCTGTCTGATGGAATGATATTGCAAAAGACATGTAGGAAGGAAGATAAAAAACCAACAAAAATAAAGACGTAGGACAGTTTCGTCCCAGGGAATTGAAAATTGCGTCTCCTTTTGGTGTTGTATTGGAATCGGGGCCATGGCTTGAAAGGTAACCGAACATGATTCAAACTCGAACAAGAGGAACAAAAGGCACATATTCATAGACTATATAGAAGTAGGGTTCCTGGCGAACTAAGCTAAAGATAGAAATGAAAAGAATCAAAGGGAAAAACAAATCATTAGGTCGGGCTCCTTGGATTCTTGTCAACAATGTCAGGACCAAGAAGAGAAGAAATCAGCATTTAACAAAGTTGTGCTGCCGGAGCTGCATAAGCCTGACAGGGTTGGGAGGAGCTGGATAATCATAATCCTGCTGATACGCTGGGAACGCGGATCGAGCCAGCTGAACTTTAACATCTCGATACGGAACAGAAACAACAGCGGTCCAAGCTTTGATATTCACATAGGTAAAGGAAACATCGATATGTCCATTGCTTGATAGGGTAGGCTCAGACTCGAAACGTTTAAGTTTGCAGGACTGAAGAGGAACCTCAGCCTTAAACGGGATAGGTAGGTGAGATCCGTCTAAGACGATTATTTTCGTCCGCGGTTCATAAGTACCGACAATGGCGTTTTTGAGGGGCTTGCCCGCGACCACTACTTGACTCAACTTCATGCCAGTAAACGTAAGCATGTGGACTGTAACAAATACACGCTCGTTACTCACAGGTGGTGTTGGTAACTGAACAGTGCTAGATGAGGAGAGAGGTCGTAAAGAAGTGAGATCCTCCTCACTGTCAATAGTTTCGAACGCCGGGCATGGAAGAGAACCCATGAAACTCAGATACTTCTGAACGGCGGCCCTCAAGTTCTGAAAGGCGGCGCTGAACCAACGCATGACTGATCGACTCAATAAAAATGAAGCTGGTCAGTGCCAAATTGCGGTGTGTATCGACGGACAAGACGAGCAGCTTATAGGTATCATGAGGTTTGCTTTATATTTTTCGAAATCCTGTAAGCCAGCCATCTCCGGTTTCGATTCCAACTCTATTAGATACAAAGCGACGATCTTGTTAGGAACAGAGCAATCAAGCATATCCTTGTAGCTGCTAGCTCCATTTTATTGTTACCAGTACCGCTAGAGACAGCGTACGAACGTACTCACATGCCTGAAGGGGAAGATAGCTGGATAAATTCATGGATCTTAACTTGAAGCCTTTGATGTTAGCCGGCAGCTTTTCTTGATCTAAAGTTATATAGCCCTAGAGATTCCAATTGGATGTAAAGAGTGGAGTACCCCTGCTTATTTGGAATATGTTATTGGTCGTCAAGGAGGAAATTGGGCCGCCATGCAGAAATACCATGATCGGAGAACTTCTCGCAGTCATGAGAAGTACTCAGGCCGAGAATTTCTCTCATCCCATGTCTTCCCAAAACTTTCTCCTTGCAGGGCGCATGATAACCTTCTCGATTAGAAATGGCTACTCTTATTTCACAGCTGAAAACAATAATTACGAAGGCTGAAGCGCTTGAAAGGACGGTCACCAATTTTATGCCAAAGCCTGATGATTGGCAGGAAATAACAAATCTATCTTTAAGGCTTAATGAAGTCACATTCCGTATCCGCCAAAATGTTGAAGATTCAAAGCGCTTGAGGAAGGAGCGATACCTTAAAGAAGCCCGAGAGGTTCGGGAGCAGGGAAAACAGTATCGAGAGAACCAAACCAGAAAGGACTTGAAGAAAGCCCCAGTCTTCCGAAGAAATATTATTCTCATCTTTGGAGGCCCCAAGGAATCGCCGTTTGATGGGACGACCGAAAAGCACAGAAAAGAAATCACACGCCAGAGATGTGCTGTTCTTCGCAGTTTGAACATTGACGGTATACTATTCTGGGCAATGTCGTACACTCCAACCTCCTGGTCCGGTGGTAAGATGAGCTGGGATCTCTTTTACAACCTTGCCAGCGATATCGAGCCCAACGAACGCCAGAAATGGTCGCCAGACTTGCTTGAGACCTTAATAGCGATAAGGGATGAGGGATTATCGGGAAATGCTGAATATGAACTCTTTCTGACAGGTAATTATTCTAGGGTATATGCAATAATAGATATCTAACCAGACACAAGCGGTGCAAGATACTTCTCTCAGTCAAGGGCCACAACGACGACGCGTGTATCAAGAATACTTGAATTATATTGAACCAGACATTCCGCCTCTTTTAAGTATAAGTTTCGTCCTAATGTTTGAACCTTCCGTGGCTGACTTGTGAAGGCGATCTTAACCAGTGTGTTGAATTCCGCTCCATGCCTCGACATCTTGTGTGTGAAAACCTCCCGGCACCTTTCCTTGAAGGGGTAATGGCGAGCCAGAGATGGGCGGACGAAATAGAGATGGGAAGATTGATGGTGACGAATTGCATTTCCATATTCTGTCCCAAGGGGATGGGTGACGGGCTCTTCGTCGCGAAGATTGGATATGAACACACGTATCGATTGGCCCAGCAACTTCTCTTTAGACAGGCGAATCGAATGGATGATTTATCGTGACATCGACTTCTTGAACTTGATGCGTGCCTTCAGTACAAAGCATCTATCTCCTGGCCGAACGGGGTGTTCCACCAAACCATTCTTCTCATTGAAGGGGCCCGCTTGTTGCTTTCCTTCTCCATCCAGAATGTTGCATGAAACACCTTCGAATTCCATTATCATGTACTCCTTGATTTCAAATATATAAACTGAAATCTCTTCCCACTCCCCTTGCAATGCCTTGTCCCCGACATTTCCAGCCATGACACGTTGATTTCGGATTGTATAGTTATCGGGTCGATCAGCCGCTGCCCCGCGTATGAGGTCTCTGGTATCCTCTGTTAGTTTCAGTCTCTGCTTCTTGGATATTCCGCAATATTATTACTTCCAGGTGTACTATACGAAGAAATCGTACGTGTTGATATGGTTTCTGTTTGCGCGGGGTGCGCCCCTCAACTCGTCAAACGTGCCCAACGTTTCGTAGTGGGGCATCACATGACATCAGATAATTAGAGGGGAAAGCACATGCTTCAGGTTTATTTTACCTTTTAAGTGCGTAGTGTCTAATGGAGTCACGGGTATATGTACCATAAGCAAGTGTTTGGCGCGTGATCATATGACCACTTTCCTACTTTTGACATTCTGCATGAAAGCAGAACATCTGTAGGGATACGTTGAGAAAATTGTGAATGGAGGCGGGCGCAAAAAGAGTTATGAGACACCTGAACCCTCAGGTAATATTTCTCCATGTCTCTTTCATCACCAAACCTCCTACAAGATTGCGTTTATATATCCTCGTAATGTGTGTGGATTATAGGACGACTACGATCTCGCAGTATTCGGGTTGAGGCCAATGACCCGACACACAATTGCCCACGGGAGAGCGTAGAATATGTTGGATACCAAGGACTGTGCGAGATACCATAACTATGAGATAATACAAATATTCTAGAACGATTCTTACATCTTCTACGCCGTGCTGACCAAGAGGATACTTCCCAACTCATATCCATGATTCATTCTGATGCTTCCAACAAACTAATTCTTAGCACTATTTCTGAGGCTACTGGAGTGGAGCGACGATACGAGTCAAGGCGGAATAACCGAAGGTCGGGCTTAGGACATGTAGATCTGCGCAGTGGTCGTGGACTGTTGTGTACATCTGCTGCGTTGAGACCGTTCTTCTGCCCTGGTTGGTTGTATCCACTTAATGGGTGTCTGAACAACGGGTTTTTGAGAGCAGTACGCTGCATCTCAAGTAGTGTTAGCCTTGAGGCCATATCATAATCCATTGCATTAACCTGCCTTCCGTCGTAGTGAAAATGTGGTTCGAGCGAGAATCGCCAAGCTGAGGACGACTGGGTATGTTTAAGGCGGCGTCCATCCAGGAATAATCAAGCCAGTGCAGCTGTTGAAAGGGCGTATCCAATGGAATCTAATTGCTGTTCTTCCAAAGGGTATCGCGGGAGTAATGACAGCACCATGTCATTAAAGTCGATGAACTGAGACTGAGAGCATAGAGCTGCCATTTCGAAGGCCGGGGGATACGAACCCGCATCTGCCCAGTCCACGAGCCACACAAGGCCGTTTCGGTCCAGAATAAGGTTCCGCGGACTGATGTCCTGGTGGGTGAGAACAAACTCGGTGAACTTGAAGGGCGGAAGGTCTGACGATGCGTGCTTGTATGTTTTACAGATGTCCAGCTTGTGGTTGAACCAGCCCTCGAATTCGGCCACGTCCTTGAAAGGCCCGGCGCTGTAGTGCGTGAAGAAGCGACCGCGACATGGGCCCCCGCCGATCGGGCCTGGCTCCAACAGCTTGATGGACTGCATTTCGATGATCATCTGGGCCGTCTGCTTCGCGACATCCATCTTTTGTTCATCACTGAGATCTCTCCAGCAGCCATCAAGCGGCTCGCCGTCGATATAATCCATCACAATATATCCCATGGTGCCAAAATATTTCGTATCGTCCATGAAGTGGAGAGACCGATGGACACGAGGAGCTCGAATATTGGACTTTGATGCGACTAGTTGAAGGACCTTTGCCTCGCAAGGCAGCACATTGCCGCCGCCTTTTAAAACGAGATTCTTAGACAATCGCACCACCGTCGTTTGGCCGAAATCGTAAAGGATCGGAGAAGACTTGAAGAGGTCGATGAGAGATTCATCGGAGACGCAATTGATGTCCTTATCATCCAGCGGGAATGCCCTGTCCGAGGCCTTACTGGCCGGCTGTCGAGATTGTTAGTGCAATATTCACCACCGGAAGAATTAAGGGAGTCAATACATCGGTGAATGGGCGTAAGGGTCCTTCCATATTCCTAATTCTTCGGTTATTTTGTGTAAGGGTCCGTGAGAAGGGAAAAAGCTGGGTTCGTATCGAGGTACCATTCCAAGACGGCAAGGGAAAAAAAAGGTAGGTAAGCTGAATGTACGAAACTTTAACATTGTTGATTCCATTGTTATCATGGTTGGGCTTAGTCATTGCCAAGGAGCGCAACAGACCATGAAGGGAGATTGATAGGTGGATCAAGCGCCTAGTTAGCGCTCAGTGGGTTCCGGCTGACCAGTCTTGTCTCAGCAGTCGCTGGCTTCACCTAGAGGACGTCGGTTGAGATAAAAGTAGATCGTTTTAGATTTAGATGAACATTTGACTTCCATTGGCTCCCCTCTCTTGCTGGATTCCCTTGGGCGGCACACATAATGAAAGGTTGATCGCATTTCTGTCAATGATTAGTCCCTCTACGCGCTGGCCTCAACTTTCAACCTCTAATTATAGCTATTCGGCTTCCCAGGCTTTCATCTATCATGTGCACGGCGAGTTCTGAAACAATCCATCATGACGATAGACAGCGAGGCGCTTAGGCTGTTTAGAACCCGATAATATTTAAGGGCACCCATTCACTGCTCCAAGCCCATCCTTTGACAAACTTACGCGAAACAGATTCTCCTCGCTTTTCTTTGAACTTCTTATTCCACCTTTTACCGCTTAGGTATGTGTCCATGTTGTTGTGGTGTTATGCATTGAAGAATTTAACGTGTGCCAGGACTCTCCGACACATGGTTTGAAGAATGGCAAACTTTCAGCCCCTCAATTTTATACCAAAGCACCGCCAGGCCCAGATTCTGGAGTCACCAGTGGAGTCTCTGATTGCTGTGCCGCACAGCAAAAAGGCCAACACAAATCATTGGTGTCTCTACCTCTTGACATCCGACCGAAGCTCTGTCAGAATCGATTGCCAGCCTAGCTACTCCGTGCCAAGTACCATTCTCCCTGGAGGCTCCAAAGCCTATGTAATCATCTCTGAGCTGTCATATACTGTGTCCAAGGATGCTCAAGCACAATTTCTTCTCGGAGTCGTCCCCGGCCTGAAGGTCAGACATTTTTACGATTTGCTGATCGAGAATGGACGACACAAATACGAATTCGATTCAAACGGAGTTGGTTGCAGATTTTGGACGACGGATCAGATCAATCTGCTACACCAGCATCGGCTTATCACGGACACGGCACAAGTTACAGCTGCAAAGAACGGGATTCGTAAGCTGTGGCCAGATCAGACACCTCTCGAACTCGACCGGGGAGCTTACTACTAGTGCGGATGTCAGCAGGCAGATGTCTACTTTGTTGTTCCTTGGGTCATCAAGTCATCTATCTTGCAAGAAACAAATGCGAGCAAGGCAGCATCTTACGCATTCTGGCCAATTTGGGGATCTCGGACCCGAGCCCAACTCATGTTCAGATCCACAATACCGTTGAAGATTCGTTTTATATGCCGTGTTATTTTCTGTGTCTTCTTTTCCCCAGTTTCTTGTTCTTTTTTGTTGCGTTTCTACTTGCTGTTAGAAAGGTAATCCATCAATTTATGGCTTTGAACTCATTCGCAAGTATTCTAAATCACTCTATATCTCGCATGAACAAGGTCAAGTCCATATATCAGAGTGTGCACACAGTCATTCTTTAACAGGGAGGATCAGGCCGCATTGAGAAGGGAAATAGCTTACCTTGTACCCAAGGAGGAATGGCACCGCATTAGTCGTCGCGGATTTCGCTGGGATTGAGTATTACCTGTCAGTACTAACCATGTGCCGTGGCCGCCTGTAGATATAAGTTTATAAGTACCGTCGAATATAGTTGCTCCTTAATTCACTACTCGCACGTTGTTTCTACTATGACTGACACCTTCCATTTCGCGGCCTGTGGTGGTCCTGATTATCAAATAAACTTTGTTCATACTTGCTATATTCGCACTCAATATTGTGAACGACACTGTTTTCTGACATTCTACTACGACAGGGGGAGTAACACTAGTCTGAAGGTTGACCACCGACTCGAACAACTGTTATGGACTAAGGACAAATGACTCACCCTCTGTGCAGCTGTCCAGAGCCGAGAGCAAGGGATATAGGTGACCTTGCCTTGTAAATAGGGATTTTGTAGTCACGTATAACAACACGACGATGCACTCTATCCAGCAGAGCACAGGAGCTTACCGATGTATTGTCTATTTCATTGATTGTAGTCAAACTGAAAGACTGAAGATCAGTGATTATGGAAATTGCTCTGAGTAAAGTACTTTGGGAGAAAGCTGAAACATAATTCGAAGATATCGTCAATACGCTCGGTAACAAATAGGTCTCTCTGTTTTTGATTGGACAAAGCTGCGCCACTACTCCTCTGGGCGGATTCATTGATCCAAGAAGAGACAGTAAACCCAATACGGCAATGCCATTGGACACGCTAACTTGAAATGGAGACTATGAGGGCCTGAGTGGATACAAAACCCGCAGTGAAGGGACCATGGAACAAGCCTCCGGGCGACCCTCAGCGCTCCTCAGCGACTGTCACTATTCCCCGCCCGTCATGATCCACGGAGTGAGGCCCCCGTCCAAGGCAGAAAACAGGCTAACGCGAAACGGAGACCACGAAGGGGTCGGTGGATCACACAACCAGTATGTCCCCACCCCAATCACAATTCGTTGAGGCCTGCTTCGGACTGGCCCCAGATCCCCATCTCTCTTCAAGACAGCGACCCTGTCCTTTTCATTTCTTTTGGCTCCAATGATTATCTCACTTACGGCTGTGGCGACACTCGCTGAAACAATTACTCGTCACGCAGAGTTGGTATGACAAAGACCCTCGTCAAGGCTTCCACCAAATCAATGTAGATTAGGAGAGTGGCCCTGAATCAGGACGACTTAGTAAGCCGGGTCCAAGCGTATAACGTATTCGGATAGCGTTCAAGAAAAGCTCATCCTGCCATATTAGAGTTGTATTCTTCCTGGTCTTTCGGGAAAAAAGTCCCTATGTATCATACAGGCACTGTGCCGGTTAGTTAAGCAAGTGTCGAACCACGTCCAGGAGTTCATTTGGACATCGTTGAAATGCCCGGTATGTCGCGAGATTGCCATGTTCTATAGGAGGAGAAAGCTACCTCGTTGTTTTTATGGTGTTTCCACAGGGCTGCAGCATTGCCCGGTCGGCTACGACATGTCATGATCTGCTTCTCGCCTAATATATCGTTAAAGTATCCTTCCTATAATTAATCATTCTTGTTCGCATTCAAGCGGGAGATTCACTTTTAGAGTTTCCCATCAGGGCATATATACATGAGGTAATCTAGTTCACAAACAGCTTAGCCTTCTTGTCTATCTATGGAAAGCCTTTTTTTTTTTTTTTTTTTTTTTTTTTTTTGGATCAAAAACAATGCCCACTTCTCTTGAACTGCGCCTCCTAATGTAGTAGAGATGCCCCAAGGAGCCCATAACTAAATGGTCGTAAAACAAATTGTGTGAACGTAGGGTCAATGAGAGGCCCTTAATAATATACTAATGTAGTATAGTTTAATTTCGAGTTAGAAAGATGAATTTAATATTGGCCGATTGACCTTTCATTTATATCACGAAGTCTTTACCAGCGCAGAACTGATTTGATCAGGATAGGCAAGTAAACTCCCATATTAGAATGTCTTGTACGTTAACCTAAATTGGAGACAATGGAGGGATTGGGCGGGTAAGAAAGCCACAGTGAAAGGCAGTACCACGGGCGATCCCCCGCAGAAATCCACACCGATATTCAGAGACCTGAAGCACTAATTTATTCGCATTACTCAGAATGAGTTCGCTGATAAATCTTGTGGCTAACATGTCCATTTGAACGCGTGTCTTTCATCTGCAAACTACGAATCTCATGTTTCTAAAGGTATTATACAATGGCATTCATTGGGACGCTAATTCGCACTGCACTATTTCACATCTCGCGCTCTGAAAATTGCCCCGACAACAGAACGATCGGATTTTCGGAGACCCTAAAACCATACTAATAGACAATCCATTGTCTCGAGGTACTAGCATGGTATAAATTATCACCTCAGCCGCAATGCTCAGATAGACAATCTAGGATGGTTGGTTAGTGCATAAGAAATCCTGGTACGGAACTTACCTAGCCAGTACTAATGCTAAATCCTCATTCGAGTTGGGACAATGGCCAGCTTTACATCCCTCACACAGTTCACTATCATGCGGACCTCTGCTCTGACCAGAAAATCTGGGTTTCTCTACTTCAATACCATTCCATTTTTTGAGCCAGTATGTCACTCTTTCTGCATAGCACCCCTGATCCAGGACTAGCCGACCAACGGCTCTGCAGTTTTTGCATCGCTGGTGATACACTCGCGCATTATATAGCTGGCGGGGGTACATGCGAATTGTAATCGCGATCTTTTTGCTGGACCAACCGCTGGAGTGACATCCGCTGTTTCGGCATATGAATCGGCCCATAACGTTCGTGTCCCGTTCCTCAATGTTGGTTTCCTCATCATCGGCGTTGAGGAAGTCTAGTTGAAGCCCTTCTTCGTTTAACAACTGTGCTACGTCGTCATGAAGCTTTGGGTGGAGCGACCACAATTTCGCAGCTTTGCGTTCCTTGCGTGGCATTTTGAATCTGGGTGCCAGATAGTGGGATTTAAGATGTCAGAAGCATGCGTTAAGAATCCAGAATTTGGCCTTAGGCTTGTGAACACTTGTCTAGGAGAAGGGTTACCCCGCTTAAAGGCAGCAGCTGTACCTCCTGAGGACAACACATCGCAGCCACATCACGAGTTGATTGGTAGATATGTTTCATGTGGTGTAACGCGTAGGAGCACCCTTGAAGCAGTGTGCGGAATACCAGGTTTGGTCAGGGTCGCATCCTTTCCATCGCAACTGATATTGAAGCTTCCGCGGGAGACTCGGCAGGCCACGATCTCCTCCACTTCCCATTCTTCCCCATCATTTTTCTCAAACTACCGTGCCAATGCTGTCCTGAGTGTTGGCACACCACGGAGGGGTGGAGTGAATACTGAAAACCGCAGTGAAGGGGGCAAGCCTCCGGGCGATCCTCCAGACGGTCCACTGCAGCGTTCCGCAGCGACTGTCACTATTCCCCGCACCCGTCATGATCCACGAAGACAGGGCCTTCCTGAAGAGCAGTAAGCATGCTAACAAAACATGAAATGCAGACCATCGATTGATCACACAACCACCATTCCCCACCCAATCACGATTGGTTGAGGCCTGAGCAGAGTAACAATGGCTTGCTAATTATATCGTACACACACATTTCCATGAATCTGGAAAGTGTAGCTGCCCAATAGTAGACATCAGCAGTGCTGGGATTGTTAATTCCGCAGATTCCTATCGAAGCCTGCCTGTTTAGTACTAGTGCAGACTTCGTGGAGCTTATCCGCTATGCCGGAAGTGGTAATCACAGGTTGTCACTGCATTGGGCTGACTGGACCTCTGAAGTGTCAGACGTATCCTTCCTGACACCTTGTGGGATCGCTCGGGCCTCTCTATAGAATTGCAGAGACAATAAGTTTTTCTTAGCATGGTGTGAGTTTCCTCTTGTAGAAGATAATCCTTGAACTTCTGGATACTGGAGTACTGGAAGCATAACTTATTTTGAAAAGATTTTGGCAGTCTTGCAAAAGATCTCGTTCTCCACGACCAAAGCTAGGGTAGGTAATTTCACAGCCTATCAAGATACGTTACCTGTACAACTGAATTGAGCTATCTTTGCAATCGGCTAATACAGATGGAAGAAATGCCTGGGAAATCAGTATAGTTTTTCGCCACTCAGAGATACCTTGGATCCGGAAGTTTAGCAACTATGGGCCGGGAATGGACTGTACAGCGGATTAACCCCGACAATGAGTGGAATGACAAGTATGGGTGCGGTGAAACGTGTGCTTAGAGTACTGTTACATTCTGAGTAAGGAATATCGCCAAACCTAGTCTGGTTTATACTCGCCCATGCATCGATTAGGGCTTTCTATTTTATCAATACGGGTAGAATAAGGTAAGGCGCAGAGGGCTAGCTGCGCTAACATTTTCCAAATGAGCTTTTGTCCGTTGAACGAACAGCAGAAGAGACTGGCATCCTGTGATATTTGGGATGGCACATGCTAACTAGGTAAATCATCGTCGGGAATATCCGGGCGCTCCTGTCCCGAACTCCCAGCTTTGTGTCCATCCCTTTAGTCGTTTCGGGGATCCAGGTTGGTCTGGGAACGTTTCATGGAACGTTCGGATTTTGCATGGAGCAACCTTGAATCCGTGCGCAGTATACCGGGCTGTGTCAGATTCACAGCCTTGCCATTGCACCTGGCACTGGAGCTTGTCATGGAGCACGCGCGAAGCCACAATCTCCTCCATCTCCCATTCGTCCTCGTTGCACGCATCGACCTCCTCTAACGCAGTAGCAGTAGTAATTTGGGAATCAGGTTCAAAATCATGCATGCAGCAACCTAGCGCCGCTTCAAACAGAAACGAAACAAGCTGCAGGCGGACTTCTAAGGACGATGACATAAACTGAGCGCGGAGTGACGTAAAGTGTACTCATCGTCGCGGGAAGCAGCGCGGATGCTTCCACTGCTTTCCGAGGCGCGTTCAAAGTATAGTAGGGTCTAAACTATAATTTATAGTATCCAACGGTACATGCTACTCGGGAAGATCATCATCTGGGACATCCTCAAGTTCTCGTCCTGCCTCCCAACCTTCTAGCCATTCTGTCAACCTTTTGGGGGGGCCAGGTTGATCTGGAAACACTCCGTGGAAGTTCTGAATCTTATACGGAGCACCCTTGAACCCGCGTGCTGGATACCAGGTCGGATCAAAATCACATCTTTTCCACTGAGCCTGATATTGCAGTTTTCCTCTCCAGATCCGTGACGCCAAGATTTGCTCCACTTCCCATTCTCGCTCTTCGATGGGGTTGAATATCACTGGTGTGTGGATATTGTTTCTCGAGGGACATCTTCCCTTCTTTGATCTTGGAATATTTTTCGACCCGCGCGTGGATGAAGGGGCCGTCAGGCGGCGCGGCTCGTCATGAGCGAACTGAAATCGCGGTGCGTTGAGCTCATTTGGTGAGTTTGGCTCGAAAGAGAAAAAATACGAGGTCCCCAACGCGTGAGTCTCGACAGTAAGGATGGCATGCCCAAAAATATCTTGACTGCCGTAAGACTTTGCTGACTGCGCGGACGCTGAGCTATGTCGCAACTTCCCGGAAGGTCCGGAAGATGTACGGTTGGTCAATGTTCCCACGGGTCGAATTGCACGTTTACGTCTCTTCGTGAGACGCGGGCTCTCCTCCTGGTCAGAGCAGTCAGGATGGCGGTCACGCTGAACAACATCAACGTCCGGTTGGCAGTTGCGGCGTGGTCGATTTCTCCCTCCAACAATTCGTGCATGGGCAACTTCGAAGGACTTTCGCCGGGGCGGCTTTGTGATTGTGGATGGGAGTTCTGGACTGGGGGTAACACCTGCTACCTGGCGACGAGGCATCGGACTTCTCTGACGAACTGATGCTTTCTTTGACTCCGCGGAAAGGGAACTACCTGAGTCTGAATGGCGTTGGTTTTCTGGGCCAGAGCCTACCACACCGATCGAAGGCAGTCGTTGATCGTTTAGAAGGGGGTCCCCCTGACTCAAGGCTGGCATTAAGATGTTTTCCTTCAGCTGCAGTGGGCCATCGCCCAAAGCAACCCGATCGTTTTCTCGCTCCCCGAGAGGCTTGCTGGCTACATCGTTCTGTGTCTGTGCTATATGGGTGGACGGGGGAGTCCCGCACATATTTATGCTGTGGTTGTCGTGGTGCGGGATATTTGAACAGCGCCCGTAGCTTACGCTGGGCTCGTCATGTGAGCCGCAAGGCCGTATGTCTGTGAGATTTGATCAGAACGTTGTACAAAAGGGGGAGTGCTTAGCGAAAGCCCTTACCTCGGGGCTGATCCCGCTCCTGTAAGTCCGAAGATGGAAAGCATAAATGACTGTCGGGCTCTGTAGAGACCCTAATCCCTTCTCGACTTGTTGTACTTCCAAAGGGGCCAGGCAGATCTGTTGTTTTTGGGAGGCTGGAGAGAGAGGGAGACAAAGCCAGGGCTGCAGTGCGAACGTTAGCAAAACGACCAAATGCAGAATACCGATCCCCCAAAGTCGAGACGTACAGAAAGTGGAGGCATCAAAGGTCTCGTTGCCGGTTTCTCCCTGCGTGAGTTCGTTGACCGTATGGGAATCTGTCGCTAGTGATGCTGCGTTGGCGCACCTGGTCAACTCGACATCAAATGTATTGAGCGATGCAGGACTGCATGAAGAATCCAACCCATAAGGATGGTGAAAAGGCAGAGCACTATCGCCGCGAGGGAGGGTTTTGCGGGCAGCCGCACCTGGGAGGATAGAGAGGGGCGGAAGAATCGGGGGGATAAGAAGAGCAGATTCTGACTGTTGCGATTTTAAGGGCTGGGGCCGGTAGAACTCGATATTGTCCAGATCTACCAAAGCCCTTCTGGGCGCTGGCTGGGTCATCATGGAGGGATGGAGGATAGATTTGGCAGAGCAATGGGAAGTGATTAAAGAGACGATGGTCGATAGTTCGCTCAGCTTTCGACACAAAGAAGGAGAGAGCCAGCTTTATAGCAGGGCTTTTGGGCATCCAACGAAGGTCTCGAGACGACCAATGGAACCTCCGGCAGATCCGTGGAGGATCCCTCGAATTCCAATACAGTCCAAAATTCGACCATCGCATGCGAGCGAATGCTAGACGTCTCGCCGCCAATGAGCTCTTCCAACAGCGCCTCGGGATACGGAGTCCGCACGGGTTTCTCAGGTCCAGAGCCAGGAGTCCCACAGTCGGCTGGGCGGTGCGATGTCGACCAGTAGAGACTGTATGAGGCAGTGCCGTTAGTCGGACGCGTCATCGGCGTCGAAAATAGATAGGCTGTCTGCCTGGGAGGGGGAAACCAGCTGCGGGAAACAATCCCGCTCCTGTGCCCTTCCGTCGCCATACAGGGCGCAATCTTGATGGCTAGCAGCTCTTGAGGCATTTTTTTGATTGGCTGCTGTGATAACCTTCGGCGAGGCGCATCAAGAGGCTTCAACACCGATCTCCGGACGGCCATTCCGCGGGTCAGAGGGAAACTGGCCAACGGTGGTGGGGGGGATTTCCAAGGCTTATTCCTCCAACCACCGAAGTCGAAAGTTCAGAGGCCGAAAAAGAAAAGGAAAAGAAAAAGGCCCAGAACAAGGAAAAGCGGTGCAGTCGAAGGCCTCGAGAGCAGTCGTTCAAGTGAAGGGGCCGTAAATCATGGTGTAACCACAGCCTGGTTGAATTGTTCCCTGATAGATGCATGAAACCCCCTCCTCTCCCCACTCTCCAGGCAGCAACATTTCCTCCCTGCACCCCTGAGGTCCTTCTCTCGAGCACAACGCGCGTTGAGCGCCGGAAAAGGGGGCTTGCGGCTTCCACAGAGCGAGTCAGAGAGTTGCGATCACGCCGAGGGGTGGAGACATCGGGTCGTGTGACGGTCAAAAATTTCACGGACGGACTGGGGCAATGGGGCCATTTGGCCAGCGGTCGGAGATCAGCGTTCCATCGTGGTACGGGGGCGAAAAGGCGCGGCGTTACGAAGGGAAGAAGGAGACGTCGTCGTCGAGCGACGCACTCGATGCTTATATAGATGCGGCGGCCCAACGACGGGGCGGTGGAGGGCGGCAGTTCCCGTTCGGGGATGGCGCGGCGCGCCAAACCAGACTGGGACACGCTAAACCGGACATGGCGCGGTCACGGCGGCCGCTAAACCCCAACGGGTGGACGGCCGGAAACGGCGGCAGCGGCCCAAATGGAAATTCTCCTAAATAGATAATTTTTATTTTTTAATATTTTATTTTAATTAAATTTTATTTATCTCTCTTTATCTATATATAAAGAGAGACTAATTCTACTAAATTTTAAAGACTATTAATTTCTTGGGTTTAGTAGAATACTGAATAATTTACTTTTATTATTATATTTATATAAAATTAAACTGAGAGAGAAGTATAGAGATAAATAAAAATAATATAATACTATTTTTTAATAGTAAAATAGATAAAGTAATATATCT